GAGCCTCTTAATCACCTCGGCCTCGGTCAGGGGTAACTCGCAGTCACTTGTCTGTCACTGCCAGGAGCTGCTGGTCAGCCCTGGCCAGGGCTCAGTACCCTGGTCCCGGTGCTGGGGTGGGCCCGCAGGGGATTCCAGCGTGTATGCGCTGGCGCCCATGGCGAGTGTGACGTGGTTCCCGCCGCGCGGCTGCGGTGACTCATTCAAAATTTCCCTTGCCTCCACGTATGTGTGAGGCGATAAGCGGGCAGGAGAGGAGTGGCTGGAGCCGGCTCGCCCCTTTCCTCAAAACCGCCGGGGTGACGTGCACACGGAAAAATGTGCATGTGTTGGGTCCTGTACAATGCCTCTGCTGGCTCTCCATCCACGGAGACTTGGTTTCTCCCTCTTCCCCTCCTGCCCCCAACTTTAAATTTAAACTTTGCGTCCTGTACGTCAGCCTGGATGGAAAGATCTCGCTGTACCCTGGCAGTGGAGCGGCAGAGGGCCAGCCCTGACCGTGCATGGCTCTGTCTTGTGTCCGGTTCTGCTGGCTTCATTCCAGGACACAGCCTCCATCCGGTAGTTTCTGGAGTGCAGGGTGCTTGCAAATCCCCAAGCAAACTCAGTCTCCTAAACAGATGTGAATGCAACCTCAACATCTGGCTCACTTCCCTCCAGGAGGAGGAATTCCTCCCGTGCCCTCCTGAGTGATGGGGGGGACCTGGGTGCTTGTGGTGTCCTCAGGCTGCTGGTGCAGGGTAGAGCTGTTTCCTGGCTGGGTTGCAGCAGGACAAAGGTTGTGAGATGTGCTGGATGAAGCGGAGAGATGCTCTGAGTGGCTTCCCACTGCGATCACCCTCGCTGGCCAGTCCTGCTGGGACTGCTGCCAAGGCCCAGCGCTTGAGCAATCCCTTCCAATCCTCTGTTGCGCTTTGCATCTCGTGTCCCTGTGTCCGCAGCTCTGGGAAGCTGGGCAGGGGTGAAAGAAGGAGCCAGCCTGCTGCTGGCTGGTGGTTTGCCCCATCCCTGCCAGCAGAACAGAGGTGACCGCGGGACCAGGGCTCGGGGGAGCTGGCAGCAAAGCCAAGCTGGTGAGAGGCATTTTTCTGCTGGGCCCGTGGGGCTGGGGAGCAGGGCTGTGCTGCCTGGCTCTGCTGCCTGGCTGCAACCCAGCCCTTGCCAGGATGAGGGAGGTGATTACATCCCGCTGAACAGGCAGCAGAAAAAAGAGCCAGCAGTGCTGCCTGGGGGGGAGGTTGGGGCCAGGGGTGGAAGCTGAAGGCAGGAGCAAATCAATCCCTTTCATTGAAGCAGGGGTGTCTGTTTTTGCAAATAAAGCTCTTCCCTGGAAGTCTGTGTCAGCTCTTCCACTTCCCACCCTGTGAGACCTGAGCTGCTGCCTTCAGCCTGATCTAAGTCACTCCTGTGGCAACCACCTCCTGTCAAAGTGTTGGAGCAGGGTGGGCCATCCCAGGGCAGCTCAGGACCCCCCAAAATCAGATGCTGGAACCCCACTGGACGTGTGGTAGTGGGGAGAGCCGGGCTGGTGGGGTTACCCAGGTGCTGCGTGCCCGTGAGGCTAACACTGTGTTCTCCCAAAGGATCATCTTCTCCACCCCATTTGCCGTCATCTCCTACTTTCTCATCTGGTTTGTGCCGGACTTCTCCAGAGGCCAAGTGATGTGGTACCTCGTCTTCTACTGCACCTTCCAGACCCTTGTGACGGTGAGTTGGGCTCTGCAGACACCAGGGCCAGTGGGTGAAGGATAAAGAGGATGAATTCCTGCCTTCACCTCGCTGAGCTACATAGAGGGGCAGGTTCCCATCCCTGAGCTAATTCTCCTCGTGCCGTTGCAGTGCTTCCATGTGCCCTACTCGGCACTGACCATGTTCATCAGCAGGGAGCAGAGCGAGCGGGACTCGGCCACTGCCTACCGTAAGAGTATTTCCTTCCCTTCCTCGCCATGGCCAGGGGGCAGCTGGTGCTCAGCTCCTTTGCTGCAGCTCTCACTGGGGTGTGATCCTCCTCCAGATGCCCTGCTGGAAGGGCTCATTTGATCACACCCCACCCCAAGGATGGTGTGTGATGAACATCATTCAGGGCTTGAACTGAAGCTGCTCCATCTCTCCCCATTCCTCTTCCCCGGCTCCTCTAGAAGACATCCTTGTCTAGTCTGATGAGAGCTGGGGTGATGGGGAGGTGGTCCCTGTTATTGCCAAGTGCCTGGAGCAGATGATGGGGGATCTGAGCTCCCAAGTCTTTCCTCCTGCTCTGTCATACAGCAGTGGGAGCAGCATGACCAAGTCTTGGCCTCGCTCCCTGCCTCAGTTTCCCCAGCAGACACTCTCCTTCCCTGTGTAGCACAGGCTTTATCACTTGGTGATTTGGAGGGAGCTGTGGGAGGGCTAGGCTGGCTCATTTCTCCTGGTGAAGGGCAATGAATTGCAGCTGGGGAGGCTCTGCTGTGGAGAAGGGTTTTGCACCCATGCCCTGGGTGCCCAAGGGCTGTGCTCAGTCCTGCTGGCCTTTCCCTCCAGGTATGACAGTGGAAGTGCTGGGCACTGTGCTGGGCACCGCCATCCAGGGCCAGATCGTGGGCAAGGTGGTTACTCCCTGCATCGAGAGCCCCCTCTTCATTGGCAAGACCAACTCCTCGGTGGCCATGGAGGAGCTAAACATGACCCATGACACCGGGTCACTCACAGACACAGTAAGCTGGGGGGACCTGCTGGCAGTCCCTGCCATACTCTCCTTGCCTTTTTGATCGGGCTGGCTCCTGGGATGAGCCCCCTCCCTCACCGTTCCCTCCTCTCTTGCACAGAGAAATGCCTACATGATCGCTGCAGGGGTCATCGGGGGACTCTACATCCTCTGTGCCATGATCCTGTCGGTGGGCGTGCGGGAGAAGAGAGGTGAGGCTTGAGACATGATGGAATACTCTGGACTTGTGGAAACGCTGTGGCTCCTGCCAGGGGTTCCTCAGGAGCCTGGCTGAGCTCTCGGCCCCTCGTTCGTGGGTCAAGCACCAGAGGACAGGGGCAGGTAGAGCTGGGGGCCTGGGGAAAGCTCTGCAGAAGGGCAGTGCTGTGGACAGGTGGCCAGAGCATCTCCAGGGTATGTTACAGCACAGCCTGAGGACTTAGCTCTCTGCTCTGCAGTGCCAGAGATAAATGTTATCATGCAGTTTTGTCTGGCCAAGGTAGCTAGTGCCAGCTAGGGCATCCCGGGGTGAGGTGATATCCAAAGTCCAGTAGCTTCTGTCCTTCCCTCCCTCTGCTTTGCGACCAGCTCTGCTTATCCTGGGCAAATCAGCCAGGCCATCCTCTCCCCTCCGTGGGGCTGAGGGACCCCTGGGTGAGGGCAGGGAGATCCCTGCAGGCATTGCCCTTGACTGCCTTGGGGTGTGATGCTGTAGGTGGGCAGGGGCTTGCGCAGGGTGCTCAACAGCAGGCATGAGGCACTGCACCCCTTGCACCCAAGGGTGCTGTTTCAGTGGGTCTAACGATGGGCTGATTTGCTCTGCTCCCCAGAGTCCTCTGAGCTCCAGTCGGACGAGCCTGTCTCCTTCTTCCAGGGGCTGAAGCTGGTGATGAACCATGGTGCCTACATCAAGCTCATCGCCGGCTTCCTCTTCACCTCACTGGCCTTCATGGTAAGCACAGCTGGGCTTGGAGGATGGGGGAGAGGGAACGGCAGCAGCATGGCTCGGAGATGGCTGGGGGACGAGCAACGTAGGGTCCAAATAGGATCCTGGCGGGCTGGGAGCATGTGAGGTGGCAGCTCAATGAGCCGGAGCTGCCCTGGGCAGAGAAGAAGGATGTGGCCTCGTGCCCTTGGATGGGTCGGTGAATGGCCGCTTTCTTCCCCTGCTCCTGCTTTGGGTGCAGCCTTGTGAGGAGGAGCTCCTGACTCTGGGGTGGCTGGGGTACCCATCCCCCCTAATCACTGTCTGCCTCCTCCGCAGCTGCTGGAGGGTAACTTTGCCCTCTTCTGCACCTACACCCTGGGCTTCCGCAACGAGTTCCAGAACATTCTCCTGGCCATCATGGTGCGTATGGCCTCATCCTGGAGCCCCTCGGGGCCAGGACTGCGGTGTGATGCACATGCTGGGATCCCGGGGGTCCTCCCCCAGGAGCTGGCATGGGATGGGTGCTCCATGGGCTGAGGGGAGGGAGGCCGTGGGGCTGCAATAGTCCACCATGGGGACAGTGACCGAAGGTCCCCTGGGAGGAGGGGAGGGAGAAGGAGCTGCCAAATGTCCTGCAAAGGCTGGGCGGGTTGGCAGGAACAGCGAGGCCTTTGTTCCTGTGTGAAGGCAGCCAGAGACGGGGAAGACCAGGAGCCGTGGGGGCCTTTTGTCCAAATCCTGCCTCGTATCTCCCTTCCCCCCACCTCAAGAAAAGGACCTCAGTGTTTACTGCCAGGAAGATGGAGCAAAACAGCTCCTTGAGAGCCCTTTCCAGCTTGCCTCATCCCTGGGAGCCCTTCCCACCCTCCCTGCCTAGTGGGGTGGAGAGGTCCAAGGTGCTAAGGTCCCCATAGAACCTGGCTCTTGGCCATGCTGTGTGCAGGCAGTGCTGACAAGATCAGGTCCCTTCCCAGCACCGAGGATCGAGTTGGGTCCTCCCTCTGTTAGGCAGGTGTGCTGGCGCCTGCCGGGTGCCCTGAGGACTGGGAGCCAGGGTGCTCGGCACTGGGGAAGGAGGTGGCCCCATGCACGGGCTCCAATTGCGAGCTCTCCTTCCCGGGAGCAGAGGCAGGTGAGGGATGGGGTGAGGGCAGGAGCAGGCGGTGTGGCTGCATGCCAGCCCCAGGAGCGTGTGGAAATCAGAGGTGCTGGAAATGTGATGGAGGAGTCTGTGCCCAGGAGCTGCTCCTTGCTGGGAAGAGCTTTTTCCCCAGAAAAGAGCCCGGCCAGCGAGTGACACCATGACCGCCTTCTCTCTTCCTATAGCTCTCGGCCACCTTGACCATTCCCCTCTGGCAGTGGTTCCTTACCCGCTTTGGGAAGAAGACTGCTGTCTACGTGGGCATCTCGGTGAGTGGGTCCCCTCGAGCACGGAGGTGCACGTGAGGATGGTGTTTCCCACATGGGGCGAGCAGAGCTGTGTCCTCCTAAGAGGGCCTGGAGCTGGGCAGGGGTGATGATGATTTGGTGCCTGTCCCTCATCTTGCTATTTGTGCTGTCACGGATGTGGCTAAGGCCAGCAGAAATGGCCACTGCGGGGCTCTGGGAGGAAGGCTGCACTGCTGCTTCCCCGGCCGTCCCTCCGGTCGGAGGGCTGGCATGCATGGGAGGGAAGGGGAAAGGCTAAGGAATCTGGGTCAGGCACTGCTGACACAACCTGGTTTCTGTCCCCTATCCAGTCTGCTATTCCCTTCCTCATCATGGTGGCTGTCCTGGACAGTAACCTCATTGTCACCTACATCGTGGCCGTTGCAGCTGGGATCAGCGTCGCAGCCGCCTTCCTCCTGCCCTGGTGAGTGCGAGGTCCTGGAGCTCTCAGCACTGCACCCCGAGAGCTGGGCAAGGTGCTTCCAGGGCCTGCTGGAGCAGTTAGAAATCCTTGGGAGGCCTTTTTGCAATGTTTTCAGTGCAAGATGGGGCTCTTGGAGGGAAATCCTCTTAGCAGGGAGAGGAGACGCCTTGTTGGCTCTGTCCTAATGTTCACCATTCCGCTCTCCACGCAGGTCCATGCTCCCGGACGTCATAGATGACTTCAAGCTGCAGCACCCTGACTCCCATGGCCATGAAGCCATCTTCTTCTCCTTCTATGTCTTCTTCACCAAGTTCACCTCTGGTGTCTCCCTGGGCATCTCCACACTCAGCTTAGAGTGAGTTTTTGCGTGGGAGCTGAGGAAGAGGGAGGGAGGCAAGTCTGGTGCCTCTGCATCCAGGCATCTCTGCTTCCAAAGGGTTGGGGGGGAGGTGGGGGGGTCTAAATCCAGCTGTGGCTCCACAAACATCTATCTGCAGGGACAGGTTTGTCTCCTACAAACTCAGTTTCCTTTGCCTGAAGGTCCCTTTCTGTCTGCAGCTTTGCAGGGTACCAGACCCGGGGCTGCTCCCAGCCCAGTGAGGTGAACTTCACCCTGAAGATGCTGGTGTCAGCCGTGCCTGTGGGGCTGATCCTGCTGGGCCTGCTCCTGTTCAAGCTGTACCCCATCGATGAGGAGAAGCGGAGGAAAAACAAGAAAGCCCTGCAGGACTTAAGGTGAGCGTTAGCTTGTGCTATGGAGGCAGCAAGTACGGCATGCCAGTGGGGTGTGTGGGGGCAGGATCAGGCCTAGACGGGTTGTGACACACTGTGACTTGTCCAGGAATCCTCCAGGACCCGTGGGTGGTGGGGTGAGGGACAGGCTGGCTTGTTTGCCCAATCCCAACTTTCCAAGACATGGTGTGAAGTGTTTGAGATCAATGGGGAACCCGCCCCAGTTGCTAAAGAAAACTCGTTCAGGGACTGCGCAAGGCAGTACCATCCCTCTTAAGACCTTTGGAGGCTCCAAGGCAGACGTCTGCTCGGAGCAAGGCTTGCTCCATGGCTCACTCCATGCCTCCTCCCCAACCCTTTGCCTGCAGGGAAGAGAGCAACAGCAGCTCGGAGTCGGACAACACAGAACTGGCCAGCATCGTGTGACCCCGGGCTGGGTCCGTCTGCTCACACCGGGGCTCTCCGAAGGACTCGGCCCCTCCGGGGCTGGACCAGCCTCGTGCCGCTGTAGGTGTGCGCCGTTGAGGAGTGCCTGGGGGAAGCAGTGCAGAGCATCCACCGACTCGAACACGAGATCTGTGCCGGTCTTGTGCCTTCCACGGGATCCACAGAGCGCTGGTAGTGTACATTACACGAATTGACCCTGTGGTACTTGTGTGCCTCACAAGAAACAAGCACTATTCCCTGCCGGGTCCTGGAGAGCAGAAAACCCCGGAGCAGGATCCTTTTGCTCGTAACACTCGTGCCCGCTGCCCGTCTGTGCCCAGCCTGCGTGGGGCTGATCGCCTGTGGGACCAGGGGTAATGGTTAGTGTACATTACACTGTCAATGTGACCGCGCCAAGGACGTGAGCTCACCTCTGCTGTCTGTACATATGACACTAATTTGGAAAGCTGTTCTTTTTTTATAGAGCCTAATTAACTTAATAATGTAAATACGAAACTATTTCCTATTTGTATATATCTGTACAGAAACTGAACTCAAGGACCTATTAATATTAATTTACATAAAAGTGGGGGAAGTCAGCAGTGTGGGTGTGGAGGATTTTTTTGTTTGGCTGCTTTTTTTTGTGGATGTCAGCAAGCCCAGGATCCCTTTATGTGCCATGGGGCGCAGGATTGACTTTCCCCTGAGCTGAAGCGGCAGGAACGCCCTA